ATTTTAAGGCTAAAAAAGAGGGACTGATTGGACAATCCCTTTTTATTTTGGAACGAGATATATATATATATATATATATATATATATATATATATATATATATATATACAAATAGCAAGTCCTTCAATTTGAGCCGAGCGACAATATGACATTGCGATAACATGCCGCACGACAAAGCGCCGTTTTGCGCGCATCGTTAGCGGCAGGACGAAAGTCCAACAATGCGCTGTTTGGCGCTTTGTCGTGCTATTGCTAGCAACAACACGACACACAAATGTGTTCCAAATCAGCAACCATGGAAAACAGAGGGTGTAATCTTTGTATATATTTTGTAATAAGTGATGTATGAATGTAATTATTTTGACATCCAAAGAAGAATAAAGTCAATTTTGGTAAAATTTATGATAGAATAAATGTGATTGAGAATCAGAATTAATTTAAGACCACATTAAATTAATTAATTTATAACCACAACAACATATATATGTTTGTATCGTTTCTAAGAAAAAAGACATAGCATTGAATAAATTATGTGCTTTTACTTAATTGAAGTGGACTTGTACATGTCCCAAAATTTTACATGCTATTTGTTTGACGTTTAGTTTTAGGGTAGGTTAGACTTTTGTGTTCGACTCCTTATCCGAAGATTGACGATGAGGTCAGAAAAGTTGCGATTGCGTTTGCATTTACCACTGACGTTCTTGTAAAGGCTTAATTTAACGCAAGCATGGACTATCTATAGTTCGGACAATTTGGCGACATTTAAAGTTATCATTTGTAATAGTCTGCATATACATGTATATACATGTATATAGACAGAATAAAGAAAATAAGAATCCCTAAACGACAAAATTTGAAAAGTCTTCAACAACCAGCCAATCATATTTCATATGCATGCGCATGCCTCCTTCAGATTCAGATTTATAAATGATAGCCGATATTTAGGATTCAAACGATATATGAAATTGAGAATGATATATATCAAAATGGAGAAAAAAAGTATGTTATAGAGAGTTATCATAATTTATAAAACTGCTTATAGCAAGTCTAAAGTTACTAAAGTTATAGGTATTGTGAGAAAAACAAATATGTACCAAACGCAAAACGTTACACGCCATGTTCTAGCAAAAGACAATTACATGTTTTGTATTGTTACAAAAAGAAACATGTACTTATATTTGGATCTCATTGATGGATTTTACTAGAAAGAAACACGCTCTCCAATGGAACATGGCAAAATTCACGCTAATTAAATCAAGATGATAACCATATTACTTCATGAAATTTCAATATAAGATGATAGTTTTGTTTATTTATTATACAAATTTTATTTTCAAAACAATATTTATAAGATTATCAATACATATTATGCATCCATCTTATTCCGATTTCTATCAAGTCACACAGTAAAACTAGGGGCGTCACGGTTAGAATTAAACGTTAAACAGACCGTACCAATTAAAACCTTAAATTCTCAACATGAACTTTGTTTCTTTATGCCAAAAAAATGGCATTTTGTTTTGTAATTTGTTGTACTCAAAATGGTTACAATACATATCTGAATATGGTGTAACTATTTTCCGTCAGGGTCGTATCGTACTCGATCGGATCGGGAAAAATACATTGTTGAACGAACAAATTGTCAACAAATCTTATTATAAAAAACTAAGGTAATATATAGAGTCGCTTTGTAACTGTTTCGTCTCTTTGTCAAAAATAAACTCGGTTACCGGTTATTAAATTTTATATAATCGTTTGTTGTTGTTGTTGTTTTTTTTTTGTTTTTTTTTTTTTTTTTTTTTTTTTTTTTAATCGATCGTATCCGTTTAAACGGATTAACGTGACACCCATAAGTAAAACTGTAATGAAATCATAATTATACATGTGACAAAGAACGTAACTGCTCTCCAGTTATTTCCTTAATTCAGTCCGCGATCAAGTTTTAACGACTGTTCCATTCAAGCGATTAGTTTCTTGGTAAACATGAGGGTTTGATTATTCTGTTTTTCCTCTCAAAAAATCCAAACAAAAAATCTGAAAAAATGTCTTGATATACTATACAATACATTCATATGAATAACTATAGTTGAATATAACGGAAGTGGTTCCGTTGCAATAGATTCTTCGGAGAAAATCGTTTTATCCAAAAATATCTCTATTTTTTTCTTATTCTATTATTGCGTTCAGTTACGTTGTTTTGTTGTTGTTCATTTTCTCAAATCAAATCAACCAATCAAAATTTGCGTAACTATTTTATAATCTTGATTATGTCATTTCTATTTTTAGCAGTAGGAACAATCACTGTCTAAGCAGCACGAGCTTGAAGATACTGACGATAGAACAACACCATATAAGACGCCGAATATCACGGCCAGGAGTATAACGGTTATCACTCCGATTGCCCAGCTTATTCGCACCATTTGTCGGGCTGTATTAGACGCTGCATGCGCTGCTGCAAGGTCACCGCGCGCAAGTGCGTCACGTGACTGAAATGAAACAAAAGATGAACCATAAAAATGGTTTCAGACATAATAAGAAAGCTCTGCATAACCGCTCCATACCCTCCCAGTTATCAAGTTTTTACTACACATATTCCATCTCTAGAAGAAATAATTGACGTCCGTTTGTCTCTAAGAAATATTGTACATGTATTGTATTGTTAAACGAACTCGCTTCTGTTTAGATAATTGTATAAAAGCAAAAACAAAAATTTAAAAATGAGAAAATAACATGAACCTCGGATGCTTTCATTATGGCTATCAGCCCTGTAGGCCAGAAACAGCACAAACATGCGATCCAAGCTTGTGTCGAGTAATCGATGGGTGCTGGCTGAATGGCATGGTTGCCCCCACCAACTTGAGCAACCTGCAAGAAAACGGGTTGAATTCATAATATAAGTGTCTCTTATATAAAAAAAAAACATTGAATATATTGTTTAAACTTGACAATTTGAACACTGAAATTGAAAATGCGCTACATTTTAGTCATAAATAATATGGATAATAAATATCACAATGGGTAAACGAGCCTACTTCTGGTGTTCGCACGAAAGGTACAAGTTAAAATATATAGGCTCCAAAGAAAAGCACAGTGATCGGTCGTAGCATGGTAAATGACCTATTCCATGGCACCTGCAACTTACAACCACTAAGACTTGCAATAAAGTGATTTTGTTTATCGTGTATAGAAATAACATTTAAAATGGAGAAAATTATGGAATTTCCTAAAAGATGTTTTAGGGCTTTTTATGCTATGTTTATTAACTACATGTAAACCATAAAGTTATCCCTGTATCTAAATAAATATCACCTAACATTGCTTATCTCGATTGCTATGACAATTCACGACAATCTGTAGCATATATTTGCTAAAGATAAATTTGGATGGTGAAGGATTAGGAAGAAAATATCATCATCATCATCATTTTGATCATTATTTATTAAAATCAATCAATATTTTTATCATTCATTATAATCATTATAGTCGCTGTCGTCATTATGGTCGACAATCAATCAATCATCATCATCATTAATCATGAATCATAAGAGACTTATCATCATCATCAATCTGAATCATCAATTATAGATAATTGATAATCAATCAATCAATCATCGCCATCATAAATCAGTTATCGCCATCAGTTTGTATTATAATTATTATTATCATCATGATCATTATCATCAACATCGTCATCATTATTATTACAGATTTTTATTTTAAAAAGGCTAAAGCATACCACTATATTATGTTGGACTTGATGCTGACCAACGAAATATCCGGGTTGTGAAGCGAAGCCCGGTTGTTGTGGCTGTGAAAATCCATAATTTGTCTGCCCGCCGGCTGCTGCTGGATTCGTCATTTGGTGCTGTTCAAACCCAACACCTGGGGGCGTGTAGGCGGGAGGTTGCTCTGTAAACAGTAAAATTATTGAGGTTATGGTGACATATATTTTAGTTGACATTTTCCTTAGTTGACATATATTTTCTTTAGTTGACATACATTTTCCTTAGATGACATTTTCCTTAGTTGACATTTTCTTTAGTTGATATATATTTTCCTTGGTTGACATATATGTTCATAAGTTGACATATATGTTCCTTAGTTGATACATATTTTCCGTAGTTGACATATATTTCCTTAGCTGACATATATTTTTCTTAGTTGACATATTTTTTTCTTAGTTGACACATATACTTTCCTTAGTTAAATAGAACATTATTGAAATTAGATGTTGCATAGATTGAGTAAAACATAAACAAATTAAGATACAACCGTAATGCCGCGGCTGATGATGATGTGATGATGACGATGATGATGATGATCATCATCATATACATGTAGATTGGATAAAATGCAGCATTTATAACTTTGTCCCATCAAAGCGGTTGACTTTGCTTTTGTACCCACACTTTGATATTTATGTTTAAGTGCAAAAAAAATGTATCCTCGCAGGACGCGGTCTTTCATACCACGCTTGGAAAAAAGGGTTGAAATTGACATTTTTCCTTGTAAAAAAGAATTTGATAATCGTTCGAGTTACTATGTTTACATGTGCAAAATGTCTTATCTATTGATGATAGTATATGAAAATTCAGAACTTGTGTTATAGTGTTAACATTTATATACTGATAGATAATCAAATAAGTACTCGTGTTCGAGCACCTTATCGATGTTTCTTGTAGATTTAATGTCTCAAAAAAATATTAAGATACCGTTAAAGAGAGAGAATAGAGGCAAATGTTTTTATTTATTGTAATGAAATAATTTGACCATATAACTATTCATGAGTGAAAAACACGTACCTTTGTCTGTCATATTTTCCGTTTATGTGTTTGTTTGTTTCAAAATGGTCGCAATCTGTGACACGTTATCAAAACTGCAACTTGTAGTTATCTTTTATGGGTGACCTAGTCATATGATGAGCACGATAAAAACGTTTAACAATCCAACATTAGTATTGATATCATATCTCAACGATGTTCGGGTTGTACGGCTGCGAAGGGAAGTGAGATTGGGAAAGTACGGTGTTTCGTTTGGGCCATCGCAATGAAAAAACTAATCGAGGACAGTTAGTCACGAATAAGGGAACGCACAAGTACGAAAAGGAAAAACTGGAAATTATGAAGACAAAAACGCGAAAGTGCGATGACGAAACTACGATCAATAAGATGCAAAGACAAGATGATGAACTCACGAAAATTGAAAGTCGATAACGTTTTAGTCATTTCTGAGCATATTTGGCATCGTTCTAACGTATATTCGTATACTCGCCTTCCCGTATACATGTACAAAAATGTCGACAAAGGTAAATAGACGCAAAAACAAAAACAAGAAGATAAGGAAACGAAAACGCGGAAATACGAATTCACGAAAGTAAGAGGACGAAAATGCAAAACTGTTTGGCTTTCAATTTTCGTAATTTGATGTTTTCACCATAGAGCTTCGCACATTCCTTATCGTACTGCCGCGTGTTCGTCATCGCGTATGTTTCGTGTTTTCGCGATTTCGTCTTTGTACTGTCGCGTCGGACCACCGTAGGGTTGCTGTGCGTCCATTGATGAAAACTGAATAGCTTATATATCTTGGTATGATTGAAATTGAACCATATTTCTGAAGTGTATGAAGCATCATCTTGTATCCAACAAATGCTATAATACTTTCATTGTCCCTCCAGTAATTCTAAACATGTTTGAAAGATATTATCCCGTCTTTTTGTGTACAAACCTATCAATATTTTTTAGCAAAACTTCCTTTATTACATAATACAAAAATTCATATGATGAAATAAATGCCATGGAATAATTTATCTTCTTTTCCTCTATTAGGATTTTAGAAATACATAAATATATTGACCTCTTTGCTTATTATAATTTTTTGTCTAATCTTTAACAGATAAATAAATTGTCAACCTCTTTGCATGCGAAAATAAATTTAAAAAATACAATTTTCATTATAGGTAATTTACCGTTTAAATTCTACCTATTTCTGTAAAACATTTTGTCGTAAGTTATTAGCAGGTGTATTATTTATGAGTTGAGTCGTTGAATCTTACTTCTTTCTGGTTTGCCAGAAGGTGTAACAAAATAACACTTACAAAAATAATTCATTAGCAATTTTGTTCATTGAATTAAGATTTTCTAAGATAAAACTTCACAATATATTTAACCTTTGTGAAGCAACACCTTGGAGCAGCAACCAATTTTTTTTATTTTGTCTCTGAAATACATTTGTTTCTACAGAGGTTTTACCGTCGTTATATTGTACACACAAAAAAAACAACACAGTTATTTTAAATTGATTTATATTTATATACATTTGAGAGATACATACAATACACTGAGAGGTTCCCAATATCTATGAGCGAAACATAACTGTCTCTACCTATAATTACAGAATCCAAAATCATTCAACATATCTAAACAGAGAACCAAGAAAGACACTTAAAGTTAATGAAAAGCATAAGTTATAATCCAGTGAACATAATGACCGCTCATAAGAGATGTAGTTGTTACAGCAAACGAAAGCCGAGCCATTACCATCTTTCATATAAGTCCATATAAGTTCGTCTGCTCTTGGATGGTGTTTCTTTACATGTTCAACTTCGTGTCGTAAAAGTTGTACTTTAGGGCATATTTCACCACGTGCGGGTGAAACGGGTCGACATTTGTTTTTATACTCCACTTCTAAAACCGCCTTCCAGTGTGTAAGACGATAATCTCTTGCATCGTCCCAAGAGGCCGTAAAATCTACCAGTTTTTCATTAACTGGCAAATTCAAAATCAAAGGAAGTTTTGTCTCGGCTGCCATGAATTTTGACCATATGTCTTCAGTCTTGCATCGAGGTGTCGGAGTAAAAACAAATACTATATAAATTTCCTGCAATAAGATGTCTGTGCTGCCCTTTTCAACAAACATGTACAGTTGACATAACCTGCATTTTTTGAAACCGAGCTTTGTTTGAACGTGTATGTAATGGTTCCTTAGGTCAGTCTCTATCAATTCCCTTTGCCTTAAATCCTCTTTTGGTACCAGTTTTATGGCGAGTTTATATCCTATATCATAATCAAGAAAGGGTACGCATTTCCCTTCAAAAGGAAGCGAACTCTGAAAGCAATGTAATGCCCGGCATTTATCCTGAAAAAAAAACAAGAAGAAACAAAAATTTTCTCTGAATTGCAAAAGATCATCGGCCGCGGAGTCAAACCGTTGCTGGGTATTTGTCCGGCAAATACGGCAAGTAGCCCTTAACTTTACCGGAAGTGAAGACCAAAATTTGAACAAACGCCAGACGGATAACCGCTCCGCCCCCTTACGAGGTAGTGAAAAACAAAATCGTGGACAAACATGACGCATCTTCTCACTTCCCCTCGTTACGTGTACATCGTTAAGAAAGCACATGCCATCAGCGGAAGATTTGAAGAACACCTTGCTGCGGCGAAGATAACCTAAACTTGTTTACTGCGGAACAACTGCCGAGGTACTGACTAACGCCGAGGGGAATGGACCTAAAAAGTAGGCAGGGACGACGAGGAAAGTGTGGTAGGTAGGCCTTAAGCACAGAGAGTGACGGCTGAAAAGGCAGACTCTTTGCTGGTATAACAGTCCTTTTCAGGGCTACCTCTTATTTATATCGACTCAGGTTACTGTACATTTATGTTCTCATTGGCCACCGAATAATGACCTTACTCCCGGCTAAAATCCGTTGTAATTGCATTGAGTTAAATTGCTTCAAAGTTAACCCTTTATGGATGTGACTGGTGACTTGTCCGGTGTCCGTAATCGACTAATCGACAGCGAACGTTGCTTTTTGTGTCTTTCCCTGGTCTCTTAATTAGCAGAGACTGAAGACAAAAAAAAACATTACGCCTTTACTTCTCGATATGTTTTTTTGGAGAAGAACTAGCGGGAAAGTGGTCAAAAATCATATCGAAAAGCAATAAAAATTAATGTACAAGACAATACGATGATATATTTTTTAAATGCGTTGATCGCCACCATACAAAAATGTGTTAACCGCCGTAATAATGGCCTTTATAACGTAAAGTTCTATATTGAAGAAATCCTACGGTCGAACCAGAAAGACACTCGGTTGGGGTACGAGGAGTGTTCAAATGCGAATGCATCAAGAAAGTTATCTTGTTTTATATTGCGAACACGAGGAAACGAAGGTTATCGGGTAAATACACCTGTTAGCTTTACATTGATACAACATTCATTAAAATCTGTTCAATTTAGCCGTGTTTGTAGCTCGCCATATATTGACTACTCATATACTGTAATAACGAAAATATTTGGAAGAAGATCAGAGAATGTCATTGCGATAGGTCTTATATAAAGAATCATTGTCTCCTTGGCATAGGATGTTAAGACATTTTGATGAAATCTGTTCTGTAAATAGACAAAATGAAATATCTTTTTTTCATCAGTTATTCGTTGGTTACATAAATTCAAACGTTAGTTAATTTCGACTGAAGCTGCACTCCATGCTCGTCGGCCTAAAATAGCAACGTCTTTCAAGATGGTTAATACGAGTATAGTGAAAGGAATAGTTAATACCGATACACTACTAGGAAAATAACTAGAACCATCGGCATAACATTAGCAGCTTAAACCATTTTCAAACTTGATTTGAAAATGAGACAGATCGGTACTGAATGGTTTTCGCATTTACTGACAAATGAGCAGGGAAAAGCTCGCGTACAATTCGCCGAGTTGTTGCTTAAACAGTATTCAAATAACAATGCAAGGTATTTTGCAAACGTTCCTGTTGACAATAAATTGGTTAATTTTTATGAGCCAAAAACGAAGACACAAAAACAAGATATTGGTTACAAAGTGGCAAAAGACCATAAATTGCAAATAAAGAGAAACATCAGTTTTAAGAAGATAATGTGTATAACTCATTCCCACATTTCAGTTGCCGTCATGAAGGCAAATATGTAAATAAACAATTTTACGAACTTAACAAATTCTTTCGAAAACGAAGACCCCCAGCAGATTTGGCCAATGTCAGATCGCTGCATGACAACGCGACATCGCACAAGGCGTCTATATTGCAGGACTTCTGACGCAGAAAAAAATCGTTTTGCTCCTCCATCCTCCGTATTCATTTGGCATGCCCCTTGTGCATTTTTTGTTTCCAAAGTTAAAAAACATACCATTCAGGTCGAAAATTTGTTCAGCATAAACACCAAAGTTCTGCAATATTCCAGTATCTTTATAGTAATAGCAAAAAAAGACGATGAAAATGCCTTAAAGATTGGATCTGTCTGAAGCTTTATGTTTCCATTTGAGGTAAATACTATGAGGGAATAGAATAAAAGAAATACAGCAAAACCTCTGATGAATCAAGTTTTACTTGCTTGGATGCATTCATATTTTTAAAAAAATCCTCATAAACCTGGTTTAAACGTTTCTGACCACTTTCTGAGTGTACAATAAACAATTATATCAATAAATTAAGACGGGTGATGTCTGTTTTTACAAATAAAGGTAAAAAATGTTGCTTGATATAGAGGTTAATAATCACACTTACAAAGAATGTGTCCAGTATCTCCCCATTCTTACATCGCCTTGTTTTTCCTTCGGGATTATCTTGATCGAATAGTTTGTCAATATTCAACAGGGTATACAGTGGAAGGATCGGATTCATTCCTGGATTCCTTCCTATTATGTTCAAGCAGTTACCAACTGATCCATAGAAGAAAGTATTGCACAGAGAGCAATATAAATTGTTATACGCATGGCCTAATTCGTTGAATATAAAGTAACCGGTGTCTGAAAAGAAGGGTGTTAAAACTTTATGGTTTTTATAAGTGAAAGAAATATGAAAGGTACGTCATATAACATTGCTTGAATACCAGATGATTTCTCTCGAAGTGAAATGCCCAATCCATCACAAATTGAGTCAACTGTATGTCAAAAATACATTCTGGGAGTTGGCTTTAGTGGTTAATGTGTCTGCCTCTTAGTCCTGGAATCGTGTGTTCAATCAAACCCTATACTGGGGTACAACCATGTTTCTAAATATAATACAAGTATTTGTTCAACAAGTTCAAATGGCGGACTCAACCTTGAATTCAATATCAAATATAAATTATATCATACCATGGCTTAGTCCATGTTAAATTAATCTTAAGGCTAAAGAATCTCTATAAACTGTGATGTCATTGTTTGAGAAAATACAAATATGGGTCCGTAATTGTTAAACGTTTTGGTTGTAAAGCTTGTATTATTTAGATTATTGAACTCCAATACCAGATAGGAAAAATATGCAAAGTTGTACCTGTTTGATTGAGACAGAGGTTGTTTAGTTCGCTATCAAAGGTTTCCCATTCACCCGTTATGTTACACTGCTTTATGACAGTTGAATCTTCAAAACAAAAAACTTTCCAAAAGTCAATATTGGTCGGCGGACTAAACTGTATAAGGCAGTTTGAGAGTATTTTTGTGGATACAGTATCAATGTCAAGGGTCTCTTGTTGCAGAACTTGTCGACAACTTTGGGGTGAGAGTTTGTGTATAGTTATCTCCCAGGCGAAAGTCCTTCGTTCATCATGGCAGTAACTGCAGAATTTGTTCTTGTAAATCACTGCCCCGTCATGAGAAGAAACCGGACGAATGTCTATAATTGTTTCAGGTTTAAAGTTTTCACACTTGGCCTTCATAGTCATATCATGATAATATTTTGGACATTTTGTTCTAGTGTAATACGAAAGAAACTTTACACTTACATGGGTGTTGTTTGGTACAAAAGCAGAAGGAAGACATTCTTGTTGTATACTTATGTCCGCATCCAAGCGTCTGTCTTTATCCCGGCAACATGTACCCTTCTCTACACATATCTCGTCACACTCACATGGTGTGCAGCAAGTATCTTTTTCTAGCACATGTTTTGTTATGTTTGTTACGCACGTTTGCTCAAATCCGCAAAATCTCGCTTCCAACGTCGCGGCGTCATGATATGCAATAAGTATGCACAAAATTATACAACGGCTCTCGTTTATGATAAACATCTCTGCTTTAAACGACAAAGTCAGTTCTGCAAACATGGCAACAAACATTTTATAATGATGTCGAAAATCACACGCGGAGGTGTTCAATTGGTTTCTTAGTAAAACATTACGTCATGGCGAATGCACCATGTGTATTTTATTTATAGTCTCTATTGTGCAAGAATCAAAATGCTGTTAATTTTTGTTTTAATTCTTGTGAAATTCTTTGTTTTAGTTTGAAGTAATTTGAAAAGAAACGTTTGTTAACGACGAAAGGCATATCATAAATCTCATACAATTTTCCATATTAATCTGTGTTTTGCAAATAACGACCATAAGTGAAAAAGACTTAAACTCAAAAAACAATCTAACTATCGTAGTCATTTCATTCTTCGTTAAGGCATTATAAAGTCTTTTTAAAGATTTTGTTTTTCAATGTCTTATAATTTTAAGATGTATGGACAAAAAGACACTTTAATTGCTGTAACTAATATTAAAGAGGTACATGTATAGTGAAAAATTGCTTATACATAATAATTCAAATTGTCGTTGAATACTAAATGTGGCAATTTATTTTTATTTATATTTTGGGATGATTCAAGGATTGGTGAGGAAGGGTGAAGGGTTATAAACTGGGTTTGGACGTGATTAGTGTTAGATCTATGTGGGAACATCCCTTACACAATAATATTTAGAATTTCGTATACAGAACTGACAAAGTTATGCGCATCATATTTACGTGATATAACGGACCAGGAGTTAATACTGAAAGCTTAGCTGTGCCTATTTACCAGGTGTCAAACCACATCAAAATGTTAACTATAAAAGTAACTTATTCATTATAATTCCGAGAAAAAAAATGTAAATTGGACTGTGAATCAATTGAAAAATAGTTTATCATCACACGAAACATATTTTTTTGATTTATCGTTATACCTTATGAAGTAGTCGGGTTCCACCGGGTATATCCTGTAAACCGTATGAAAATGTCGGTATCACCGTTTATAAATATCCTGTGAACCGTAACAAAGTAGTCGGGTAAAATCCTGTTTATCTGGCAAATCGAATGAGGTTGTCGGGTGCCACCGTGTACACCCAATGAAGCCGGGTGAAATAGCCGTCTACCACTTTGTAAATCCAGTGAACCGAATAAAACAGTCAGGTACAACTGTCTTTATTCCGGTAAACCGGAAGTGTAAGTCATGTTTCGATGTAATTATGCATGCAGTAATGCAGGAATATGAAATTAATTGAGTCACTGTGTAATATATAAGTGGTAAGTAAGTAAGATAATTCATAGAATGTGTAGTGTTCAGTGAGTGATATTCGCCGAGTTGAAAATCTTTGTAAGCAAAATCACGGATATTTATTACAAGGATCGGACACTATCGTTTAGCATAAAATCGCGTCGCGCGCATGCGCGGAATCGCATATCGGAAGAATGAAAGATGGCGGAACGCGCGGAGAGCAAAATATGGCAGATTTTCACAAGAGTATGTGGTGTTATTGCAGCTTTTTGAAAAATTATACGCTCATGAATGTATTGATACAGGATTATTTTGCGCCGCTAAAGTATTAGTATATGAAAATATGCCGATAGAACGCTGCAACGCTGAGTTAAAAAAGTACCTAATTTAAAAAAATATTCGCCTATTGTTTAGAAATACTCTTTACACTTTGACCCCCTTTTACTTCAAGCACAATCTATTACCGCGATTCAGATTAAGATAATTATTTTTTACATTGTTTAATGGTTGCATTGCAAAATCAAAGCACAGAAGGCGCGCTGAATTTGTTATGGTCTCAGAATGTCAGAAAAGTGAAGGTATTGAGATTATAAACCAATTTGTTTGTCAAGCGTCACCAATGCTGCTCCAGTGTTATAACTATATAATAGTAAATTGGCTAAAAAGACTAATTGCAACACTGATATTTAATTCAATGTTTATTTGGCTTAAACAAAAAACCTTAGTTGCCTGAACTGGGATTTGAAATACAGACCTCTCGCTTCTAAAGCGAGCGTGTAAACCCCTCGACCATGGGGAGTTATAAGATAACAGTCTGAAGAATACCATAATTTTCTTAATTAGAGTTTGTAACCCTTATTAATTCGATATATTTTGTTCACGGTAAACCTGTTGTTTAACGTTGTTTAACACTGAAGTTAATAATCTGAAGCTGAATATAAGCATGTATAGGCAAGTTGCGTGTTGTTGTTATGAAATCTATTAATAGTAACAAATAGCTGATAAGACATACAGGTAACTTGTGGATGGTTTGCAAAAAATATGGTGGCTGATAAAATGCAAAATATCAATTTTATATTTATAACAAACTTATTTTTCATGAAAGAACTTAATATTTTATACCATTAGAAAGGTCTTTAAACTCATATTTTACACAATAAAAAATAAATTTTCAAAATTCTTAACTTTTTCCTTGGTATAGAGTTAAACTCAAAACTATTGAAATAACAGTTAAAAAATAGCCGAGTGTTCTTTTTTAAAGCAAAAAATGAAAATCTACTTATGTTTCAAAAATTTGAATATAAAGCACTTTCTAATGATATATGAATCTAAAAAATCGATCCACAAATAAAAAAAAGTTATTAGAATTTAAAAAAAAAATCTGCTGCTAATTGATGCATACAAATACTGACTCTTTTTGTCAACCAGTAAATCTGCTTAAGTCTGGTAGCAGGTGCTTGTGATGTCATCGTGCAACTTGCCTATATCTATAAGAATAACACAATATTAGAAATCTTCGACCAATGGGGAACTATTTTTTCGTTACGAAAATTAATGCGCTTGTCATTTGACAGTCTTTACGCAGTGAACTCCCCTTAGTTTTTCGGCTTTAATGAACATATGAAGGGAAATAACCGCTTCGAGGAGTTTGGACTACTTTATGCATTTGTAAATAAGAACATCAGGGTCTGAAAATTCGCTACCATTATTTGTTTGGTCTGACGACCCAAACAAATAAAAATGTTTCTTGGTTGCTTAAAAACTTTAAAGAAATTCATGTTTGAAATTTGTCATTATTTCTGTGACTTATTTCCAAATGATTTGTACATTATTTTTATTCGATTACCTGAATATTAGTATTAATATTATAAATGTTCTACTTATTAGTCTATTAAATATATTTCAGATCATTTAAAACAAGCGTTCATATATAGATGAATTCATTAGATTGGCAAGGAAGAAATATTATTGACCTACAGAACAGCTGTTTTAGAACATTTTTTTTTACAGTTATCCTTCACAATTCACGTCAAATGATTTATTTGTTAATGTTTATTTTTATTATTCTTCAAAGAAAGGACTATACAAAATTAGTTGTATATTTTCAATTTCATTAATTAATGTTAATAAAGAAAATTGATTTATATTGTATTTATATATATCCCCTTCAGAATCATTCCCTTATTACACATACCACGGACTGTAGTTAAAGACCACGCACATATTCAAGTTCTATTTGTTTTTGAAGATTGAGTGTCGCAATTATCACATGTAACTTCAAAGAAATTTAAGCGATATGTAAAAAAAAAAATAGTTAATTTTATTTCGCATAATACTGACTCACACTGTAAGATTTTGTTGTTTTCTAGTGTTACATTAAAAAATATCAGGAATATCTTTCTACAGGCATTTAAATAAAAAGAATAATTAAAATATACGAGTGACATTAGAATGGCCGGAATCGAGACAGTCACACGATAGTACTTTACTGTTACTTCACTGCACCGACATTTAAAAACAGTTTTACACCAAAAAATATAAATGATGAATAAAAATATATGTATATTCTATGAATATGACAATATTGATAATCTCAGCAATATTCTGTAATTCAAATTTTGAATAAATTTAATTCATG